CCTTTTTCTTTCCTTTTATAAGCTAATGTCTTACCTACATTGTACTGTTTTCTCCCTTGAGTTCTCTTCCCTTGTGTAAATCCATTGGTGCCTTCAAAATACTGCTGGTTCAAAAACTTTGAGAACAGCCACCCTTAGGAATGACACCATGCTCACGTGGGATAAGTGTGTGTTTTGTTTTATAGTCTATATATGCTGTCTCTTCCTTTAAATCAACATTGTTTAGAAAAGGAAGGTGATGTTGATGGGCTGGCAGCAGAGTCCTACAATTCCTGTTACTGCATTCTCAGAAAACTAGTGGGAAACCAGGAGGAAGTTCCTCCTCTGTAGGAAATTATGGTTCCAGTCTCATTCCACACTTTGCCACGTCACCCACCCTGTCAGTTTCACCCCAGAATGGAACACTGGAGATGTTTGTTTCCCTTTTCTGGGAGGAGAAGGGCTTGGGTAGATGCCAACCCCCAAATCAGCCTGTGAAATGATTATTCCTCCCTTCACTCCATAGTACATAATTAGTCACTTAGAACATATTTACAGTATATTCAGTTGGCCCAGTGGCTTACAATATCTATATAATTTTGTATTTTTTTATTTCATCCCTGAAGTTGGAGACTTATATGTAGTTAAAACTCATGATGATAGTTTCTGTTGTTTGCCATATATGGGACATATGGACATTCCTTTTCCAGTGTTCCCTGCCCCCCCCCTTTATATTTTGTTCTTATCTCTTTATTGCAGAAATTTTGGGTGGTTAAGTACCAGATTGCAAGCAGTACAATATGTGGGTTCGAGCCTCACATCATGTATTAGTACTGTAAAAAAAAGGGAAAAATTTTATGAGTAGATGACTTTTTACAGATGGGCCAAATAAAATACCAAATGAATGAGTTGAATATAGCCAGTGGCAGGGGGATTAAGATCAGGAATTAAGACTCTGATTAAGAAGGTGCTTGATAACGCCTTCTAATGTTTTTAGATTAGGGGGTCTGCTCAGTTACCACCTTAAGCTTCTACTTCCGATGCTCCCTAAAATTATAGGAATGACTCTATGTGTAAAGCTTACCCAAACTTTGGGTCTATAATACTACTCTTAAAAAAAAATGAGGCAAAAAGAAACTGTGAAAAGTGTTTAGCAGTGAGTAAGAGAGGGAGCTTACAAACTCTTTGATGGTCAATTAGCCAGAAAATGTGCTAAAGACTGGGTGCTGTGCTGGATTACAGGCCCAGGAATTACCCCCAAGGTCCTGAGAGTGGTCCTGCCGTTTGAGCACAGAGACAATTACAGACCTCTAGGAGATGCTACAAAGGCTTTAATTAAGGGACTTACTAACACCCCACTAAGTTTTGGAAATTTAATTCTTATTTGTGCTTACCTGATGTTTCTTTTGTCCAGACTTTCACATGTATTTCAACAGAGAACACTATTTCCCCCACATCTGTTTTATGCTGGAAGCCGTTTACTGTGATAGATAGCAGCAAAGCTGAGAATTTAACCAGTATAAGGAAGTAGGTAGAAAAGTGGGCTTGGGAGGCTTTTGCTGGGAACATTTTGGGCTCACATTGAAAATTGTAGTACTATGCATCTCGAAACATCAGTAAGAGAAAACTAATGTACTTTATAGAATTTGAATTTTAGAATTCACATTTCACAAAGCAATGTGATTTTCTTTGAATTGGCAACTTCATATTTCTAGACACAGCATGCTGCTCTTTCTCTAAAAATATGTTTTTGTTTGTTGATGCTATAAGGTTACCACCCAGGTCTGATTTTTCACCAGCCTAGACTCATATTTTGTTCCATTTAGATGTGACTGTTTTTATTTCTGGAAATACTCTGCTTTAAGATGCATTAGTCCTAGCTAGAGCGCTATGATCACATTAATCTACCGGAGTTATTGTGAACTGCCCGCTTTCTGCCAGCAGTGGAGATGCTCTCATCTTTGAACTCTAGGGCCTAATTGTTGCCCAAGTCGGCCATATCTCCCTTGTTTTCTTAGTGAAGTAGTTATTCTCTCTTCTGTCCTTTGAAGCAATTCACTTCTGCCTGCAAAATTTGGTTTGAACCTTAAAGGTTTTCAAAAGCACTAAGAAATGTTTGTGTTTTAGTAACATTATATTTTCCTTCAGTATTTCTAGTTTACATGTAATATCTCATCAAGTGGCACATTTTTTAGATTCTCTCTGTTGTACCAATAGACTACTTGAAGGACCTTTTGTGTGCATACCTCTTAATTTGTGTATGAGGAGGACAGAACCTCAACCTTGCTGAAAAGAGGAGTCGATAAGAAAATCACACGTGTTTAACCTGTGATAACAATTTTAACTTGCCATTTTATCATTTTTCACAAGGTCAGATATAAAGCATGCAGTTTTCAGCAAAGTCGAGTTTATACAGAAATCTTATCACTGGGCTTCATTTTTACATGAGGGTTGGTAGGGAAGGATAATTTGTGTTGGATACTAGGGCAGCAGGCTTCATTTTTACGTGTGAGTTGATAGGGGAGGATGATTAGTATTGGACAAGAGGGCAGCAGGCTCCTGTATGTGCTATCAGCTCCATTGGACCACTGTGAAGGCCTTCTGACTCCAGAGTGGTTTGAGATGCTGCAGTGGCCTGGATGGGTCTATGGGCCCAGGTGAGAGCTTTTGGTGTTTATGTTATGTAGAATACTCATATACTTGGATATGTTTTAAATAAAGCATAATGTGAATTTTAGTTCTTTTTTGCTTTTCTTTGGAAAGAGGGAAAATTATATTTAGTGACAAAAATATTTTTGTCTGATCAAGTACCTAACTGGTTAATGAGCTAAAGCAAAGTTTGATCCAAACTTCTGGAGAGAGGTAGAGCTGGCAGCTGAAGAAGAATATAACTGAATTTTGCTAAAAAAAAGTGCTGATTCGAGAAGTCGTTTTATGAAGTAAAAAATTCTAAGCTCTTATCTCTTAGGCTTTATTTTGCTAACATTGTTAGAACTAGCACATCTGGCTTAGATTCTAAAATAGTTTGGTTTTATGCTTCAGTAAAAATGAAACCAATCAAATTGGAATTGAAGATAGATGAAAGGATGGATTTTGGTACAATGAGGATTCTTAAACACAGTAAAGTTACCAGGGAAGATCTTGAACATTGTCTTTCTGAGTGTCCCTTAAAAATAGGCTGGTGTCAAACATCAGCATCCCACAATATACCCAGGTAACAAACCTGAACACGTACCCCTTGAATCTATTAATAAGATAGAAGTTGGAAAAAACCACAGCAAGCTGGTGTCTTTTTTTCAGTTAGTGTGGTTGTATTCAAGTCTAGCTCTGTAAAGGGGTGCTGGGGTGCTGGGATAAACAGTCCCCAGCAGTCCTTCCAGTTCTGCAGTTCTTGATTATATTGCTTACCATTAACACCTTATGTAATCTTCACTTACATGTCATTTGAAGATTTTTCTTTTCCTTTGGGGAGTTGAGGGGTGGAGAGTTTTGTCTTTTAAGTTAGATATTTATTTTGATAGAATTAAAATGTACCATCTTTATCAGATTTAGTAATATTCATATGAAACTGAGACTCTATGTTATTAGTTGGGTTTGGTTTCTGCATTGTTTTATTTGGTTTCCCTCCCTATCCCTCACCCCAAGTGTGGATTAGTGCACAGAGCCAGATAGTTAAATGCAGTCACTGAAATTCTTGCTTTAAAAGACAGTGAGGCAGAATTGTTTAGTTTGGAGACATGTGAAAAAGAGGCCACCTTAGTATTTCACCTCTGTTGCTTTGGGTTTACTTAAGTTGACAGTTTAGAATGTTTTCCAGCTCTTTCCCCAGAAATATAAACAAAATCGTTCTCTGCTGGTCAAGAAATATATGTAATTGCCTTTGTCTCTATGGTACTAACTTGATGGTAGCGGGTTCCCCTCCCCTGCAACCTGATTCTGTATCTCTTAAGCATGCTGACCTTGGAACCATTAGTAGAGACTCAGCAGTTTACACTTTCATCAATAATGCACTCGCTCTGAAGTGGCAGGCTGGACGCTGTGGCCCAGCTCTGCATGGGTATTTATAGTGTGTGCCAGTAAATGTTTCTGTTGAATCGGTCAGGAGCTGCAGGCCTGATCTGTTTTCAAGTTGGTGGTGAGAGCAATGAGTCGGCATATTTGTAAACCTCAGGAGAGTACAGTGCATTGATAGATTCCTGTGGCACTGGTAATTTCATGAATATGGAGTGGGCCTATATGTTCATTTTTAGCTCTGTAAACCTCAAGAATTGTTACTGTCTTGGTAAGCTGTATCAGTGCATTGGCACTGATGAAGGGAGAACTTTCTGCCTGTCTTGAAGTAAACGAGGCATCAACCCAGACTTGTGTTGGGCTGACCTTTGCTGTGGTTTTACAGTAGATGCTCCAAAACTGCCTAGAAAGCTGTTTTCAGATGGGAATGTGGGTTGCCTTTGGTAGCATGGCCTGTCATCAGAGGTGTGGTTCCCCCGGTAGCGGGCCTGTGATACTGTGGCTCCGGTTTCTTTATGTAATAAGGTGAGAAAGAGTGACTTTGTACAGAGCAAATGAATTCAGTGTCGATGTCTTATCCGGTGAGCGTTGCTATGGAAAAACCTGTTTGAAAACAGGTTCTTCCCATGCAAGTTCATCAGTTTTATGTTTCATATTTTGCCTTTTGTCCTTTTTAGGACCAGTTCCAAGTGCAGGCAGAGGTCCCCTAGGACTTCTGACTGTGGGCCTTCAGCAGCCTCCATGATTTCATCATTCCTGCTCGGGCCCCTGTTACCAAAAATACAGGACCCTTATTTTCATATTTGCCCCTGATTTTTTCCTTGCAAGAGTTTCTTGATAGCAAATTCTTCTTTTAAATACTAGAAAGTATGAGGAAGCGTTCTCTTTTCATAGCCAGTGGTTTAAAGAATAGTTATTTTTAAAGTAGACTAGTGGGCTTTTAGTGTTAAATGTCTATTGACATTTTGCCAGAAGAAACATTGATTTTTCTTTCACTTTGTCTTTTTCAGGGCCTGCTTTCTTCCCCGGGCGATGTGCAGAGATCTTTGCCAGGGGTCAAAGTGTTGGGAAGCTTGGGGTCCTTCATCCTGACGTTATCACCAAGTTTGAGCTGACCATGCCCTGCTCCTCGCTAGAAATCAATATTGGACCCTTTTTGTGAAGATTGGTCTCTGTGGTGTGATTCTCTTCCCAAGTGTCCCTTTCTCCTCCCCTAGTGTCCTTTAGTCTTCCTCCACGGGGAACATCTATTCGGGCTTTAATGTTTAATAAAGTAGAAAGCACTGTCTGGCTGTGTGGGTAGAGACCACCCTTTCCCTGCATTAGACCAGCTTGTGCCATATGCGAATGTGTCTGTGTGTGAAGCTGCATTGTTGGGTAAAAGCCCTGTGGAGTGCCAGAGAAATGCACTGGCAGAGTGCAGGATCTGTTCTGAAAGGCAGATGTGCTCCTCAGACATCAGAGCATCACATTGGAGCGGATTACTCCTGCATAGCAAGATTCCATTTCTTTCTTTATTGATAAAACAAGATAATTGATGAGAGTTCATGTTGCGTGAGTTTGAGATAACTGAGGGGTTTAGCTTTGATTTTCTACATTTGACATGTATTCATCATTGAGAAACACTAAAATAACGATATTTTTAGAAAACGTTTAAGAATCAATTATGGTCCAACAATTATAGCTTCTGAGATCAGTTTAAAGTGAAAGAAAATTCTGTAATACAAGGATTCAAAATATGTGAGGGTGCACAGGTATTTTTTACTCTGTGATACTCTAAGATGGAGTACATGCAACGAAGATCTGTTCTGCTGTAAGAGTTAAAATGGACAAGTATTGGTATCAATGCAGTATGAACATTAGGAAACCATGAGAAGCTTATTTTTGCCATAGGCCATACGTGTTACTGTAATCAGTCAGTTATAAAATCATGGTTTTAAATACTTAATTGAGATACTAGTTTCTCTCTTATAGGGAGATATTAGGCCTCTTTTTTCCTGAAGCTAAGCTTCAGCCAATCCTCCTTATTTTATATCCCAATTTCCTTTCTTACTTCAATCTAGAATTCTCCAGTAGGTACCATCTCTGAAAAAAAGCTGAGTCTAATGTTTGAGAGAAGTTCTCAGGTACTATTGAAGTAATAAGAAATATGATAAAATGTAATACTTTAGAGTCCCAGTAGAAATAGCTAACAAAGACCAGGCGCGCTGCAGCTCATGCCTGTAATCCTGGCACTTTGGGAGACTGAGGTGGGCAGATCACTTGAGGCCAATAGTTCGAGATCAGCCTGACCAACATGACGAAATGCCATTTCTACCAAAAATATAAAAATTAGCAAGGCATGGTGGTGTGAGCCTGCAGTCCCAGCTACTTGGGAGACTGAGTCAGGAAAATCTCTTGAACCGGGAGGTGGATGTTGCAGTGAGCCGAGATTGTGCCACTGCCCTTCAGCCTGGGTGACACAGTGAGATTCTGTCTACAAAAAAAGATATAGCTAACAAAGATAGTGAAATAAGAATTATGTTTATGGATCTTTTGCTGAATCTACTACTAGGAGAAAACCCAACCATATTACAACCTTGAATTGGGGCAGTAGTGTCTAACTTGCAAGATTTGTGAATACACAGACTTCCATCTGATCCTTCACAGCTCTGTTGTAAGCAGATCCTTACAACATTTTAAAAATGAAATATGCCCTTTAAAAATAATGCCTGCCAAAAGGACTTGTATCCAGCATGCATGAAGATTTCTTAAAACTTAATAATAAAAATAAAACAACTGTTTTTTTAAAATGTGCAAGAGTTGAACAAACATTTCCCCAGAGAAGATATATGAATGGCCAGTGAGCACTTGAAAAGATCCTCAATGTCATTAGTCATCAGGGAAATGCAAATAAAATCCACAATGATAAACTGCATACCCATTAAAATGGCTAAAATTTAAGACCCATAAATCAAATATTGCTGAGACTGGAGCAAGTGGAACTTTTCATGCACTGCTGGTGAGTCACAATGTAAAATGTTACATTGTGACTTTAGAAAATAGCTTGGCAGTCTCTTGAAACATACACCTACCATCTAGCCATTCTATTCCTAGGTTTACCCATATGGCCAAAGATTTGTATGCAAGTGTTCACAGTGTTACTTACAGTAGTTACAAATTGCAGTCTATCCATACTATGGAATACTTCTCAGCAATAAGAAGGAATGAACTACTGATCCTCAAAACAACATGAATGAATTTCAAAACAGTATGCTAAGTGAAAGCAAGAGACACAAAAGACTCTTTAATTCTATTTACATAGGAGTCTAAATAAGTCAAAAGCAGGTTGGTTGGCAGGAGCTCAGGAAAGAGAACTGACTGCAGTGGGTTAAGAGGAAACTTTTTGGGTATGGAAATTTTATCTTAATTGAGGTGGTACGTGTACTTCAGGTGTAGGTTATACCTTCGTAAAGCTGGGAGAAAAAGAATGTAATGTAACATGTAGTATTTTACTAATTTTAACTACATAACACCAGTTGATAAATGGCTAGAGAAATAGCCTGAACTGTAGAATTGGCAGTTCTGTTCAGGATGGCTCACTGGTCTACAACTATTAATGATATATTCTCCTTTAGTTTCAGGTTCGCTCTAGTTAAAATCATGGCTTAGGGATCATCATATGATAGCCATTGTTGAAGTAGGTGGAACCATTTGTTCTGTCAGCAGCTACCCACCTGGATATTTTTGGGGGTGGCCAAAATTACTTGTAATGAAAAACCCACTAATGCCTAATTGTATATAATTGTATATCCCAGCCTGAAAGGGGAAAGATCAACTCCATGCATCATGTAGATGTTTCTGCCCTTGGAAGCAGGAAATGGTAGGAAGAAAAACAGCGTCGGCCGCATTGGAAGAAGCGAACCTTCAGCTCATGAGTCGAGGCTCTGCAGCCAGATCCTCTTACGCTTGTCCCTGGTGAAGCATTTGAACTGGAGCCAGGGCAGTCTGTGAGTACTGCCAAAAGCCTTTATTACAGAAGATGCATACCTTCTTAGTAAAAACTGGGAGCTGTAGTATTAAAGTGAAAATTAAATGGAATTGATTTTTGTTCTAGCTTAGAAACTTAAATTCTACCACTACAGCCTGACAGTCCTGCAGTGCTCTTCTGGTTTTTGTTTGTTTGTTTAGATGGAGTCTTGCTTTGTCACCCAGGCTGGAGCGCAGTGGGGCGATCTTGGCCCACTGCAGCCTCCACCTCCTGGTGGAGGTGTTCTCCTGCCTCAGCTTCCCGAGTAGCTAGGACTGCAGGCGTGTACCACCATGCCTGGATAATGTTTGTATTTTTAGTAGAGACAGGGTTTCACCATGTTGACTAGGCTGGTCTCGAACTTCTGACTTTAGGCAATCTGCCCACTGGTGCCTCCCAAAGTGCCGGGATTACAGGCGCCTGGCCTGCTCTTCTGTTTTTATTTTTGAATTGCTTTTCTTTCACATTTTAATTTTTTTGGTTTAATAATGGTATGAGAGTAGGAATTCTCCCTGATATGTAGGGTGAAAACAGTTGAGTTTCAGAGAGATCAATAACTTACTTAGAAGTCACATAGCCAATAAATGAGTTTGAGACACTGTATAAGAGTGACTTGGAGTCTACAGCCCACTCACTGATTTGCATTATTTATTTATGCAAAAGTAAATAATGGGACTTTCTACACTTAATATAAAAATAATGGAAAACAAAAAGTTAAAACTTGTTAAGTCCAATACTTTAAAAAACCTGTTCAAACTATGGTCTTCCTGAGCTAATCTACCTTTCTTCCTTCTGATTCCCTAAAGTAACTAATCACTGTTAACAATTTAGCCTGTATTGTTTCCTTAGTTTGGACATTTTCCTTGATTTGTACAGTCAGCCACACACAACTCCTCCCATTTTTTGGGGGGTCATGCTCTACATACTGGTTTGCAACAAGTTTTGTTTTTTATTTTATATATCTCTCATGACATTTCACTTAATATGTCCCATTTTTTCAGGTCAGTGCCTATAGACCTATCTCATTCTTTTAAATGAGGTAATATTCTATTGTACAGATGTCCATAATAGTTCAATTATTCCCCTGTTGGTGGACATTCAGTCATTTCCAACTGTTTGAAATTATAAACACTGCTTCAATGAACCCCCCATCCTGCAAAATAGCACGGCTTAGGGTCCCAAGGAAAACCAGTCCTAATAGGTGCAAGACTGTATAAATATTCACTTTTGACAGACACATTCAGAGATGCATAGAGTTCATTAGATATTTCTTTGATGTGACGTTTGTACTCGAACAATATATTATTCCAGTACCTTACATCTTAGATGTAGAAGTCGCTAGGTCAAAGGATGTGTTTTGAATGTAAAACATGTTGAATGACTAGTCTTACATTTTAAACAGGAGTAATCTACTACAAACTAGCCAGCCTAATCACTACCCCTGCTCTCAGCAATGATGGGCACATCAGCTTGGTGAGAGAGAACATTGCTCACAATCTTGCTTCTCAATCTTAATCTGTTTGTGCTTGATGTTTTGTGTAACATCACTAACCCTAATACTTGAGTATTGACTTTGACCCTTCTGACCATTTTATCCAAAAGCAGAAAGATAGCCTTCAAGGGACACCATTGCCTTAAGCAGAATATGCTATCCAACTTCTGGCTTGTAATGTTATTAGGGCCTTGAATAACTTTTATATTATTATGGACTGAATGTATCCCCACAAATTCATGTTGACCCTCTGACCTCCAGTGTGATGGTCTTTGGAGATGAGGCCTTTGGCAGGTGATTAGAGCTAGATGAGGTCATGAGAGGGGGGCCCTCATGACCAGCTCAGTGGCCTGATAAGAAACATCAGAGAGCTTGCCCTGTTTCTTTGCCTACCTGGCGCACACATACAGGAGAGGTGACGTGACCACACAGCAACATGGTGGCCACTGGCAAGCTTAAAGAGGGATCAGAATGAAACCTATTTTGCTGGCACCTTGATCTTGGACTTCCAGCCTCCAGAACTGTGAGAAATAAAATTCTTTTATTGAAACCACCCACCCTGTAGTCTTTTGTTGTGACAGTCCCAGCAAACTAAAACACATTATTGAAAACTTGCATTGAAAAAGTAGAGAGTGGCATGCATGATAAAATTCAAGGCAGCAGTACACCTCTGGGACAGTCTGCAACAGTTCCCTAATCTGCCTGTATCCATGAGTGCAGATAGGAGTGAAGCCTCCTGGGCTTCCAGTCTGCAGCGTCTCTGTTAATGGAAACCTGATGGGTGCCG